CCTGCCATTGGCTGATTTCAAACGCCAACGTCTCAGCCTAGGCAGCCGATTGGTCCGCTCTGAGACCCGGCGTCTGTCAACCCGGACATCCTCTTCCGGCTCAAAGGCAAACGGCGGCTTTTCCGATCACGTGGTCTTGCTTTACTACAAGGCTGAGGCACCCTCCCCCCCCGCCCCGTTCGAGCTGACCCAGTGAAAACTACAACTCCCACAGAGCATCGCGCCAAGGCTGCGTTCACGCCCTCCCGGACACCTGTGCGGCATGCTGGGAGATGTAGTCTCCCTGAGACCGACGCCAGCCAGTCCTCGGAATAGGAGGAGAGAAAGATGCTCGTTGGGGTTTGACCCGTGGCGCTCTCCCCATCTGAGTTGACCTCGCAGACACAAGAACCCCATTTTGACCAATACTTCTATAGAGCTAAATTATTCTCCCTTTCACTGAATGGACATAAGCCCATGAAGTGAAGCAAAAATTGGAGTAGAGAAGGAAATATTTAATAAATTGCATTATTTTGCCCGGATTTTTTTTTCTCTCATTTTCCTGGGGTTTCCACCAGTGAACCAGGGTCTCACATTTCCTACTGGTCTAACAGAAACTCATCCTTATTTATACTATGCTTTGTCTCTCCATTGCATCCTTCAACAAATATTTATTTGAGTGCCTACTGTGTGCCAGGCCTGGTGACAGGCTGGGAAGATGCGTTCACCAAACCAGCCCTTGCTCTGGAGGAACTCCCTGCCCAGAAGGGTGGACAGACTGGGAAACAAATCATCTGAAACGTGTTAAAGCTCAAAACCTTCTTTTAGACATGTTAAAACAGGGTCTTAAAATCACAGCTCCAAGCTTCTCCCGCCCACCCAACCCCACCCCAGCAACTCCCTAGAGTTCTGAGCTGTTTGCCCCCTACTCTGTTGCTACAACCCTCCAAACAGGAAAATTAAGAAGGTTGCTTCTGTAACAAGAAACAATTTGATCTCCGTGAAAGAAAAGCAATACTTAGCTAGAATGCTGTGACTCAGCCCCTCTTTTTTCTTTCTGTATGCCTGAGACCTTATTTGTATTAACTTTTCTGTAAATGTTGCTCATTTGTCTATTGGATTGTTGCTCTTTTGCTTTTTTTTTTTTTGTTAATTTTATTTTTTCCAACACCATTTATCCCCTCTATGCCCTCCTCCCCCATCACCAAGCTGTTGTCCATGACCATGGGTTCTCTCTTTTGTTTTTCTTTTTTGCTCAATCCCTCCACCCCCTCCACCCTCCCTGGGCTGTCTACCTGCTCTCTCTGTGAGTCTGTCTCTATTCTGATGGTAGTTCAGCTTGTGCTTTACCTTTAAAGCACAAGTGATCCAACAGTGTAATTAGCTTAATGTACCCTAAGGTACATTAATAGAGGGGAACCTTTGGTCTATGCATTCACATACACTGACTCAGGGACACACTTTTTCTGAATTCTTGACACACTAACTGCACACACAGCCACTCTGCTCCCCTCTGTATCGATAATATCACTGCTAAAAGGTCAGGTTCTTGCTCTCCCTCCTCAGCAGTCCTCACACAGGGCTCTCAATCTCTTCTCTTTCAACAAGTTAATGGCTAGGTTAAGAATTTTAAAATGCAGTGCCTTGCCTCCATTCTAACTTTGGCTAAATAATTTTATCTCCAAATAATTTTATTTAGTTCCCTCTCCCCATTGCTTATTTAATTCTATTAGTGTTTTGAGATTCTGAGCATGAATTACCCACTAATAAAATCTAAGTGTATTTCATTACCCAGTGTGTGTATGATTCAGGTCCCTCTGGGCATGCAGTTGCAACCAGACTCGATTTGAGTTTTAAGAAACGTCAATCTTTTAAATCCAGTTTAGAACCTGAAGGGAGGCTGATGAGTTTGCCGATTATTCAAATGAATTGATGGTCTTGCGATAGGAAATCTGGCCGCAGTGAAGTCTTGGACAACATTTTAAATCCAAATGCAAAGCCATACTGGTGTGCGTGTGCATGTGTGTGTTACTGCCTGCAAGAGGGAGGAATTCCTAAAAACTAATTACACTGTTGGATCACTTTGCTAATTTCAGGGTTAGTAAAAAAAAAAAAAAAAAAGAATACCCCACTATATGACCAACTAATAAGGGGTCATTCCTAAAACCTTAAGGGCACGATTTTGCCATTACTTGACTACAATGACTACAGGAAACCACTTTCTGCAAGAGAAGCCTAAGGAAGATCTAGTCACCCAATACTTTCAAAACAATCATATCTTGGAAAAAAACAATCTGTCGAAATGCAGACAAAAATGATGCGGATGGAATATTCCTATACAAATACTTCATCGAAAGCAATTTGGTTATTTCTGCATGAAATACTCAAATAGCAACATTAGAGGAGAAGAGGAATTTAATGTGGGTCATCTGGAAGAAGAGGAAGGCCTTGAAATAAACTATGTGTACCAGCCCTGGCCGTGTGGCTCAGCTGGTTAGAGCTTCAGCCCGGTACACCAAGGTTTCAGTTCCATCTCCGGTCAGGGCACAGACTAGAATCAACCGATAAATACATGGATAAGTGGAGCAGCAAATGATGTCTCTCTCTCTCTCAAATCAATCAGTAAATAAAAATAAAATGTGTACCAAATAAATCAGAAGGAAATGGATCCAGTGTTACTTTTGTTTTCTCTCTCTAAATATCCAATATTTAGCATAGTTCTCAGCAAGCAGCGGGGCCCAGTAAATATTTGTTGAATTGAACTTAGTGGAAATGAAATACAGCTGGACTGGCAGCATTGGCAGGTGTGCTCTTGGAAAGCATCCTTCAAACGTCACCTCGAAATAAATTGTGGGTTTTATGAAATCTCATGTGAAAAGAAAAAATATGGCCTCAAAGTGGGCAGGAGACCAGGCGTTTTAGACAGACCGCTGCGGGTCACCCAGAGGGTTCACAGGTTCCCTGGACACTTGCACAACACCCGGCCCATTTCCCTGCCTCTGCTCAGAGACCAGCCTGCCACATAAACGTCGCCCTTTAGAGATGAGATGGGCCCCGGCGCTGTGGACTCGGCACCTTTGCACCAGCTAAGGGAGACCCCCAGCGTCGGAGGCAGAAGGTCTCTGGAGCTCGCCCCACCTGACACCAAGCCCTCGGCCTCCTCCAAGCTCAGGCTCCCTTTCCCCCCGCGTTTTACAAGGAACAGGTGGCTGCGATCCAACATTGGGAGACTCTGGGATTTGCATGACGCCCACGCGGCTGTTCTGCCGGCGCCGCGCCCTCACAGCCCGGCGCGAACCGCGGGTGTCGGGGCGCGGAAGTCCGTGGGCGCCCAGGCCTCGCTCCACGCTTTCACGCAACGCGAGCGGCCACGTGCTCGTCCGTGATCCGGCCACCTAGTCACGCACCGTGCAAACTATAAACAACGACGACAAAAGTGTCTGCGCGGGGCGCCCCCGCCTCGCGCGCTTTCGGTGCCGGGTCCCTCGCCTCAGGTCCCCCCTCCGCGGGAGGGCCACCTCTCCGCGCCCGCTTCCTTTACGGCGCGCGGAGCGCACAACGGTGCCACCCTCCGGGGAACCGCGCGCCGCTGCGGGCCTAGCGCGCCCGGCTGCGGGACGGGCAAAGCGGGCTCTTTACCTGGCCCAGGAAGCGCCGCCCCGCCTTCCCTGCGCCCCAGAGGAGGAGGCCGGGCTTTCTGGTTGAGCCGTGGCGCCCGACGCCCCGCTGCGGCCAAGCCGGAGGTGGTCTGGGTGCTGGGATGACGCTCGGGTCCGCTTCTGCGGTGAGGCCAGCCTCCCTGCCTTTGTCCCGCTCGCCGTGCGTTCCGAACTGGATTCCGCCGGGGCGCACGTCAGCCGGCTCCTGGACTGGGCGTCTGGGAGTGGAAGGGGGCGCGATCCAGCCCGGGTGCCTTCGGAGTCAGCGCCCCAACCTTTAACCCCTGACCCCGGCCCCACCCTCCACGCGCGGCGGGCCAGCGCTCTTCTAACTCACGCCCACCAGCCGCTCCACCCAAAATCGAGAAAACCTTCCACGTGTTAGCACGCCAGGCAAGCGACGCCACCAAAGTTAGCAACGGTGCTTAAAATGTTTTATTTTTTTTTTCTTTAAAAATATGTACAGATCTGAAATCTCCCCCTTTCGCCCCCACCCATCCTTGGGACGAGGGAAACGAAAAGAGGCGCTGAGATCATTGCCCAGAGCCCCCAAGGGCTGGCGAGCAGGCGTGTGCGCATGTACCTATATACAAACGTATGGACGGGGGACCAGCGCACCCGCTTGCGTCGGTGTTTCTGTGTGTGTTTCCCCCCCCACCAATCAACCCAAACTCCCTTCCCCACCACCCTTCCAAAATGGTTTCCAAAGCGTACTGGCTTGTTTGGTGTAGAAAGCGGGAGATCTGGCCTGAGAAATGGGGGTCAGTCCCCCCGAAACAATCAAAACAAGAGGTCGGGCAGAGGCCATAAATAAGAACATTATACACACGGTGTATTTCTTCATATCCCCGGGCGCGGGGAGCGCCGGGCGCGCCGGCAGCCTCAGTAGTCCAGCTTGTTGTACAGATTGTAGAGCGGCAGGGCCGAGAGGCCGCCGCCCGGGTAGTAGAGCGGCGCGGGGAAGGCGAGCGAGCGCGGCACCGGCACGCGCAGCAGCGAGCTGTCCCGGAACACCAGCGGCATCCCCACCAGAGTCTGCGCCGACGCGTGGGCCATGTTGGCCGCCTCCAGCTCGGCCGAGAGCTGCCGCTTCCACTTGTTGCGGCGGTTCTGGAACCAAGTCTTGACCTGCGTCTCGGTGAGCTGCAGGCTGGAGGCGAGGCAGGCGCGCTCCGAGCTGCTCAGGTAGCGCTTCATGTCGAAGGTGGACTCCAGCTGGTAGACCTGGCTGCGCGAGAAGACCGTGCGCGTCTTCTTCTTGCGGCACGCGGGCTTCTTCTCGGGGCTCTCGGAGCCCTTCTTCCAGTCCTCGGCGCCCGGCGTGGCCGCCGCCGCCCC